CCCCAAAACCCCAAAACCCCAAAACCCCAAAACCCCAATGACTTCAGGAATATTGAATTTATTACTTTTTGAAACACCAACAGCCTCATCCAGAAGATCCAATAGAGGGTCTGCTTTGTATCTCTTGATTTTTACTTTTGCTGTCTGCATCACTACGCTCTTGGTCATCTCCAATAAGGTTAGCCATAGATCCTGCTAAATTCTTCTAGAGGTCTTAACGGCGTTTACCTTTTCTACTGAGTCAGTCTTGGTACGGAAGGTGTCGATATTAGGCTCAGAAGTATGCGTTTTGTTCTTTTCCGAAGTTAATAACTTGACACTATTTTCTATGAGAATGGGTGAGAGTGGTCTTAGGCTATCAAACCTTTTATCTCTTCATTTTTCTTCTTAGGATACGCAGATCTAGTAATACTTGATTCTTGAAGATCATCCTCTGGAGTCTCCTCTTCATCAAATTGCTCTCTAGAAATTAGTGGTCACATACTTGAAGTAGTTTATAAGCCTATTTAGAAGCTTCTTCATCTTTTTGGAGGATCTCTTTGTCATCAACGACCTGGTACACGGCTACGACTGGGAAGTCAAGGTTGCCTATCATCTCTCTAACAACTTCGCTGTAATCTTCCACTTGGCAGACTACTTGCTTTAGCTTGAGCTTGCTATAGCAAGCTTAGTCAGGATATTTTGGTTAAACTTACTCATCTTTAATGAATCTCCACTCATTTTCAAATTTGAGGTAGGTAGTGTAGCTGTCGAATTTGGAACCATAGCATATCATACCAACAAGGACTGCTTTGGGCGACTCTATTACAATGTCATATGGGTCTATAAAAATCATAACTTCAGCTACCCTTCTTCATCACTATGAAGTCCGTTGCTAGAAATTATAAGCAAAATATACTATAGATATTCTCGGGAAGCATTAGAAGCATCGTAGCATGGTTTAACAGTCTCTCTGTATTTATTTTCCTGGCTTCCTCGCTGAGAGGATTCTTTTGAGCTACCTTAAGAGCATTCTAAATGTTATCAAGGCATGCTACTAGTTGGTCTATTTTGAACCTGAATGTAAGGAAATCTCCTGCATTCTCTTTATCAATTCCAAAATAATTATCCGAACTGAATAAGGAGTCTTGGAGGGCTATAAGTTTTCATAAAGTCTAGGTACGCTGCTTGATATCAACACTGTTATTTCTTCTAGAGTTACAAGTCTGGGCTTACTGACTATGTACTTTTTGGAACACTTTGAATAAACTTTGTTCAAGGGACCGGAAGGTGTGGGGTTTTAAAAGTCCTTCCTTCTTGACTCCCTTGATCAAGTCATTCACATCTACTAGGAGAGAATATTGGTCAAATTTTGGAACAATGTTATCACCTCACTCAGTATACCTCATTTGGAACAGATCTGAAATTGTTAGTAAAGAATACCATTTGCAGTTTTATCGGAGAGGGTAGAATCTTCACCCCAAGCGTTGCAAATTTTGTCCATGAGGTACTCATAAAAGCACATATTTTCATTACTAGAAACTTTTTCCTCTTCGTCAGCTTCTTTCTTATCCTCTTCTATTTATTATGACCTCGAGGGTTACCATTCTCAGGGGAGATCTGGCAGATCCTATTTAGGTAATGATTAGTGTTTACGGCATGGAACTTACAATGCATCGAATATATCCAAGTCTTGTTTGTCTCTAAGATCTACTAAGACTTTGTAGAGATCATTGGTGTTGATGGTCGCCGGTCTAAAGTTTCTCACAAACTTACTCATCTTTTAGTAATGTCTTCCTGTTCCTCTCCCCGTTTGTGGCACTAAGAATCTCGCTGTTTGTGGAATACTATAAAATTGGTTGGGAAACTATCAAATGCATAGTAGTAAAGATTTTGTGAATTTGTTAAAAATACTCAATTTTTTATGAAAATCTGGAAGAACTTACGTAATTTGTCTTCTCGTGGAGATCGACCAGGATCTTATTCAGAGCTTTGATAGTCTTATCATCTTCGTCGCAGTCTAAATTGGTGTTTCAAGATTACTCTAACCCAAAGTGTATTTAGTCGAGACTTACTAAGAAGGTATGTGCTAAGGATCTTCTGGAGGTTTGCTGTAAACTCTTCAACTTTAAGGTTTAGTATCAACTGCAGGACTGAGTTTAGATAGCTGTTGCCATTACTTTCGCGTAGCTCGCATTCAAACATTATTAAATATATTATAATTTCCAAACCTAACAATAGCAGTTGGGGTTTTGGGGTTTTGGGGTTTTGGGGTTTTGGGG